CAATATTATAGAAATAAATGGAAAAAATTGCAGAAAACGACATGTCATTGTCGGCATTGAAAATAAATGAAAACTATCATCTGCCAAAAATTTCAATTTATTTTAAGAACCTAGACAATATTAGAATATGTATAATAAATATATGATTATGAATAAGTAAAAAGAAATGTCTACTATTCTTATAAACTTTAAAAAAGGACTCTACTGACGAGCATAAAGTTCAAGGGAAAAGGGACTCTACTTACGATCAAACTGATTTTCGAGCTCATTTTTATGGATTTCAAAAGGAAAAAGGAACTCTACTGGTGAGCAAACTGATTTCTGAAAATATTCTCATAAATTTCAAGGGAAGCGGGACTCTACTTACGATCAAACTGATTTTCGAGCTCATTTTTATGGATTTCAAAAGGAAAAAGGAACTCTACTGGTGAGCAAACTGATTTCTGAAAATATTCTTATAAATTTCAAGGGAAAAGGGACTCTACTTACGATCAAACTGATTTTCTACGTCATTTTTATAAATTGAAGAGGAAAAAGGGACTGAGTTTCGACAATATTCTTAAAAATTGAAAAAGGAAAAAGGGACTCTACTTACGAGCAAACTGATTTCTGAAAATATCTTTATGAATTCAAAAAGGGACTCTACTTACGATCAAACTGATTTTCGAGGTCATTTTTGAAAATTATGAAAGTAAAAAGGGACTCTACTTACGAGCAAACTGATTTCGGAAAATATTCTTATAAATTTCAAGGGAAAAGGGACTCTACTTACGATCAAACTGATTTTCGAGGTCATTTTTGAAAATTTTGAAAGTAAAAAGGGACTCTACTTACGAGCAAACTGATTTCAGAATTTCTTTTTGTAATTTTCAAAACAAAAAGCGATTACTCCGATTCTGAAAAAAAAGCGAGAATCTACTCTAATTTCCAAAGGAGTCCCTTTTTCGAGGAGCAGAGATGTGCCAGAAATTAAAATAATATAAAATACAGTATATGTATGGCAGATTGAATGATACACATATGAACAGGATATGACAAATTAATCCACTTAAATTGTGAAATTAAGTGTTAATCAGGGCCGGTCCTACCTTGAATGCGGGTGCACGCCTTAGGGGGCGCCAACACAAGATTCGGATATTAAATTTTCAATATATAATTTCTTTGCATCTTTTACTAACCTTTCCACATATTTTTGAAATTCATAAAAATTTTACTTTAGAACAACAAATGGGAAAGTAGAGATGAATACATACAATTCGGTCTCCTCACGATATCGATTAGGAGAAGTTTAAGATACAATTTTAGATATCTTAAATAATAAAAAATTAAACTAGTGGGGCGCATGGCATCGTGCCTTAAGGCAAATTGCCGGAACTTCCCGTACCAAAAATTATTTTTTTTTTTTTGAAAAGATTAACATTTTTGAAAAAAAATTACTCTGAAAAAAATAGATTTTTGAGGAACTATATAAATTTTTGACAAAAACTTACTTTTTGTTGAAAAATTTATTTTGAAATATTTTGGAAACTCTGAACTTTTTTTCAAAGCAATCGTACTGCTTTAATGCATAGAGACTAAATATCGAAGCGCGTAAGCGCCGCGTCGCTGTCTAACGCATAAGCATTGGTACGGAACCCATAGGAATGTTAACAAAATGTATACTTATTGTTAAAATCTCTATAAAATATCTGATAATTTTATGTGCATATGTCTAATGTCTAATGATTATTGTTGACCGCCAAATGTTATTTTTTTTTTTACTTTTTTTACTAGATGTCCGAAACCGCTAGACCTATCTTCATGAAAATTTGATCAAATCTTCATCTTGATAATGCAATGTTTTTGGCCCTTTTTGCCCCATATCTTCGGTGTTTTTTTGAAATTATTCAAATTGCTTCATCCCGGTTCCCGAAATCGTCGACGAAAATTTGTATCCGAACACATACACACACATACATCAATTTTCTCTAAGGTATGCCAATATATTCAGAAACCTTTGAAACGTAAAGATATATAAAAATTTTCATTTTCGATTTTTGTGCGATTACTATAACTTACCCTACGGAAAGTTAATTATAAATAAATCAATTTATCATCTCCAGAACATTAACAATCGTCATTTCATTTCGAATCAAATTTCAAAAAAAAATAGTTGCCAAATTTTCACAAAATTGGAAAAGTGCCCCTATACATAAACAGTCTAAACGCACTTGGGTAAACATTTGTACCAGAGTGGCGCTTAGACTGTGCTTAGCTTGGGTGATTTTTTGAATTTTTAATCGAAAATTACAAAAAAAAATTTTTGAAAAAAAATAAGAAACAAAAAAATTTTTTTTCCAAAACCAATTATTTTATTGAAATAAGCAGAAAGTTCTTTAAGTCATTTAAATCGGACACTTAGTTCTCTCAAAAACTGCCATTTTTTTAACATTTAGCTCTGTATTTCCGAAACCGCTGGGCCTACCTTTGCCAAAAACTAACCAGCACATCTCCCTATCAATAGGAATCGAATGTTTTTTAAACCATTCAAATCGGTTGATCCGTTCCCTAAAAAACTCGCTTTCTATTGTCTGCACTCTTTGCTCCATATCTCCGTAACGGCTGGACCTGCCTTTGCCAAAAACTAATCAGCACATCTCCCTATCAATAGGAATCGAATGTTTTTTAAACCATTCAAATCGGTTGATCCGTGCGCCCGAAAACGTGGACGAAAAAAAGCGGACATACAAAACACACACACACACACACACACACATCCATTTTTTCTGAAGTATGCCAAAATGTTCAAAAACCTTCAAAACGTCGAGAAATGTAAAAATTTTTGATTTCGATTTTTGGACGATTACTATAACTTACCCTACGGGAAGTTAATAATTTAATCCAACATGGAGTACCAGTGTTATGTCATGGTTGTTATGTTATACCGTTTAAAAGACTTCAATTTCCAAAATAGTGTTGGGGAATTGAGACTCAGTATTTTATTTAAAGCAGTTCTACATTTAACATCGCTCATATTATAAATGTATATGCATTTTGGCGTGAAGAGTAATTTAAAAAACTATAATTATTATTTTTAGGTAAACGGTAAATATCAGTATATTATATTAAAAAATTGTAGACATTGGTACAGGACAACGTCTGTCGGGTCATCTAGTATATATATATATATATATATATATATATTATTACCTTTTCCTCCAGAGCTATGTGCAGATTTGCTCTCGCCGTCTTTAGAACCACGAAGTGAACTTCCACGAGAACTCGATATGCCTATCGATACAAAACCACAAACATTACTACACACTTTAGTAAACCGACTACAAATTATTTACAATTTTTACCCTAACCTTTGCCCTCGTCTTTATCTTTCCCTTCGTGCTGCTCCGTGGCATCTTTCTCCTCACTAATGGCAATCAAATTATTCTTCTGTCCTGCAGCAGAATTTGCATTGCTTGTCGAGCCATCGACCACTGTATTCGACAGTATCATGTCACCAGCTTCGTCTTTGCCAGTCGACTGAATGGGGATGTCGTCTGAGGAAAAATTAAATATAAGATCATTGTTGTAAAAATGGTAATGCTAACAGAAAATCTAACATTTATGGAAAATTGAACATCAAAAAGATACATATAGTAAAAGACTTATGAATTGGATTTTTAATGTAAATAAATTGTGGCTAAATGTAGAAAATTTATGTTTTGCAGAACCCTAGCAGTTTGTTTTGTCTGTTGATACTATATTCTAATAGGGTTCGTCGAGACCTTTTAAACGATACCCCACATGACCTATCTAACGTGAAACGTTTCGACCCTCTATCCGACCCATCAAACTGCTGTATTTATTCATTATCGCTTGTAACTTCTAAACCGTTCGTTCGATTTAAATGCAATATTCGACAAATTTGTATAGAATTGAATAATCTACAGCATTATCTTTAATTCAAAGCCTTAGAACATCTTGGTGTACTTTAAAAACGCTTTTGGTTCATAATTTTATTTCAAGTTGATGAAATAAAATTAAATAAATACTAACAATAACAATAACTGAACCTAGAAACATTATCAAATTGAAAGATTAATAGGTTTTACTAACAAAAGCGATAACTGGACCTAGGACACCTAAATATATTTTAAAATTGATAGATAAAAAACTAGAAAATACATCTAGTGAATCCTAATAGTTTATTCAATCCCTTGTTACTATATTCAAATAGGGTTCGTCGAGACCTTTTAAACGATACCCCACACGACCTATCTAAAGCGAAACGTTTCGACCCTTTATTCGACCCATCAAACTGCTGTATTTATTCATTATCGCTTGTAACTTCTAAACCGTTCGTTTGATTTAAATGCAATATTCGACAAATTTGTATAAAATTAAATTATCTGCAATACCATCTTTAAATAAAAGCCTTAGAGCACTTGGGTGTACTTTAAAATCGCTTTTGATTCATAAAATGCATTTCAAGTTTAAAAAAAATTAAATAATTATTAAAAATAACAATGACTGGACCTAGGACACCTATGTATAAATTGAAATTGACAGATAAAACTAAAAAATACATCTTCTATTAAACCCTAATAGTTTGTTTCATCCCTTAATACTATATTCAAATAAGGTTCATTGAGACCTTTCAAATGATACCCCACACGACCTATCTAACGCGAAACGTTTCGACCCCTTATCCGATCCATCAATATGCTGTATTTATTCATTATCTCTTGTATCTTTTGAACCGTACGTTTGATTTAAATGAAATATTCGACAAAATTGTACAAAATTAAATTATCTATAATGTCATCTTTAAATAAAAGCCTTAGAACATCTTGGTGTACTTGAAAATCGCTTTTGATTCTATAAAATTCATTTCAAGTTAAAGAAAAATTAAATAAATACTTAAAATAACAATGGCTGGACCTAGGACGCTTAAGTGTATTCTAAAATTTATAGATAAAACTAGAAAATACATCTTCTATTAAACCCTAATAGTTTGTTTCATCTCTTGATACTATATTCAAATAGAGTTCGTCGAGACCTATTAAACGATACCCCACACGACCTATCTAACGCGAAACGTTTCGACCCTTTATTCGATCCATCGTACTGGCGCATTTATTCATTATCTCTTGTAACTTTTGAACCGTACGTTTGATTTAAATGCAATATTCGACAAATTTGTATAAAATTAAGTAATCTGTAATACCATCTTTAAATATAAGCCCTACAACAACTTGGTGTACTTTAAAATTGATTTTGATTCATAAAATCACTTCAAGTTAAAAAAAATAATTAACAGATGAAACTAAAAAACACATCTTCTACTGAACCCTAATAGTTTATTCAATCCTTTGATACTATATTCAAATAAGGTTCGAGACCTTTCAAACGATACCCCACACGACCTATCTAACGCGAAACGTTTCGACCCTTTATTCGACCCATCAAACCGCTACATTTATTCATTATCTCTTGTAACTTCTAAACCGTACGTTTGATTTAAATCAAATATTCGACAAATTTGTACAGAATTAAATTATCTATAATATCATCTTTAATTCAAAGCCCTAGAGCAACTTGGTGTACTTTAAAATCGCTTTTGATTCACAATTTTATTTCAAGTTGATGAAATAAAATAAAATAATTACTAAATAACAATGACTGGGGCTAGGACACCTACGTATATTTTAATTAAAATTGACAGATAAAACATGAAAATACATCTTCTATTAAACCCTAATAGATTGTTTCATCCCTTGATACTATATTCAAATAAGATTCATCGAGACCTTTCAAATGATACCCCACACGACCTATCGAACGCGAAACGTTTCGACCCTTCATTCGACCCATCGTATTGGTGCATTTATTCATTATCTCTTGTAACTTCTAAACCGTACGTTCGATTTAAATGCAATATTCGACAAATTTGTACAAAATTAAATTATCTACAGTATCATTTTTAAATATAAACCCTACAGCAACTTGGTGTACTTGAAAATCGCTTTTGATTTATAAAAATGATTTCAAGGGGGATATAAGCACACTCATTTTTTATTTTGTTTATGTAATTTAAAGAATTGAAATTATATAAATGACGTGTTAGACAAACTTATGTAAATTTATATATATATATATATATATATATATATATATATATTTCTTTTTATTATCTTACTTGTGTCCATACAAACAACAAGCACACACTCAACCACCAAAAAGCATGCAAGCAAGTTTTCAAAAATTCAGATCTCTTTCGACAAATCTGCCATTTTTTCCAAAATTTCAAATCGGTTTTTTCATTCTTGGAGGTTCCTCTGCAAAAATACACATTTCAAAATAAATAATAAACAAATAAGTAAAATTTGTTGAAATAAGTTCGAAGAAATGTTATACACATGCATAAACCAGAGAGTGATTTATAGAACATAAAAACGAATATATATATATATATATATATATATATATATATATATATATATATATATATATATGAATCTACCTAACATCGAACACCAATTTTTTTACTCACGTCACAATACAAATATTTATATACCATTTTTCTTTCTACCAAAAACTGTGCATTTTTTTCAAATTTGCCAATTTTGTGCAAAACATCACGAACTTTGTGTGTGTGTGTAAATTGCCAATTAAATTTATAAAAATTTATAAAAATTACCTTTGGACTTTTTGATCGGAACTCCTCGTCGATAAATAAAATTTTCAAAAAAAAAAGTTGTAACGCGCACTAAGCAAATTTTAATGCAAAAATTTAGTCACAAGAAAAAATGTTTAAATAAATTTTGCAATTTAGAAAAAAATTGGATTTTTTTTAAATGGAAAACTTGCATTTCGATAATTTATAATTTGTCTGTCCATATTTTTTTACTTAAAAAAATATAAATAAATCGAAGGGTGGAAAGAAAACGAAACTGGGTTGGACACATCGGAACTAAAAAATTTAAATCTATTTTCTGTCTTTGTATTTAAATTCACCTCTAATTATTGAGCTTTATTATTTAAGTTCTAATTTCCCAAAAATATCCAAAATATAGTGTACGAGTTCAAAGGGTAAAAAAAAAGGAAAACTGAGTTGAGTACATATTGAAAATCAAAAATTTAGTTAATTTAAAAAAAAAATTGTCTCCCCAGAATTTCTTAATTAATTTTCATAATTTCTAATTAATAACCTTCTAATCAATAAAATCTTTTTTAATTCCATTTGTATCTCGATTTTACAGTAATTCTTTAATTGTCCAAACACGTATGACCAAAAACTTTGAAATAATTTAACAAAAAGGAAACTGGAATGGTCTAAAAACTCAAAAATTTTATTGGTGAAGATATTTTTTTAGGAAAAACCATAATTTCGTCGAATCATTCCTCTTATTTATGCTATTTTTATTTAGAGTATAATCTAGCACTTTATAGAAACGTTTTACAGAATTCTACTTTATGCAACTATAAAGTGGGCAAAAACGAGAAAAGTGTTTAAAGATTCTTGCGACCCTAAATTTTCACCCTTATAGAACAAACCCTTATCTACATGATAATTCATACTTCAGTAATACCATAATTAGTCATTTCGCTTGATAATTGTAAAATTGTAGCGCGAACTAAGCAAATTTTGATGCAAAAATTTAGTCAGAACAAACATAAAATATATTATAAACAAAATATTGCAATTTAGGAAAAATATCGATTTTTTAATGAAAAACTTGCATTTAATTAAATTTCTTAATTTTTCAACGAGTAATTTAATTTGCTTGTCAGTAGAGTCTCTTTCTTATTCATTTTTACTTAAGGTATTTAACTTGCTTGTCAGTAGAGTCCCTTTTTTAATTTGTAATGAAATAATTTGCTTGTCAGTAGAGTCCCTTAATTTTTGAATGAGATATTAATTTTGCTTGTCAGTAGAGCCCCTTTCTTTATTTTTTACTTAAGGTATTTTACTTGCTTGTCAGTAGAGTTCCTTTCTTAATTTTTAACGATTAAATTTGCTTGCAAGTAGAGTCCCTTTGTTAATTTTTGAATGAGATATTTAATTTGCTTGCCAGTAGAGTCCCTTTGTTAATTTTTTATTGAGTAATTTAATTTGCTCGTCAGTAGAGTCCCTTTCTTAATTTTTAACGAAATAATTTGCTTGTCAATAGAGTCCCTTTTCTAATTTTTAACGAAATAATTTGCTTGTCAGTAGAGTTCCTTTCTCAATTTTTACTTAAGGTATTTAATTTGCTTGTCAGTAGAGTCCCTTTTTTAATTTTTAACGAATTAATTTGCTTGTCAGTAGAGTCCCTTTCTTAATTTTTACTTAAGGTATTTAACTTTCTTGTCAGTAGAGTTCCTTTTTTAATTTTTCAACGATTAAATTTGCTCGTCAGTAGAGTCTCTTTTTAATTTTTACTTAAGGTATTTTTTGCTTGTCAGTAGAGTCCCTTTGTTACTTTTGTATGATATATTTAATTTGCTTGTTTTTTAATTTTTAATTTTTAATGAAATAATTTGCTCGTCAGTAGAGTCCCTTTTTTAATTTTTAACGAAATAATTTGCTTGTCAGTAGATTCCCTTTCGAATATTTTAACTTTCTAGTATTTTTTTGTTAACGTGTCCCAGTTTATTGCAAATAAATTTATTCAGATAATTTTAGGCAAACGTACAAAATGTTTTGATTTACAAGACGTTTCTCAAAATAATTTGCAACTGATAATAAATCTTGATTCGCAATTTAAAAATTAATGAAAACAAAGCCAGAAAAATTTGTGCTGAATTGAGGACCCGGTATGAAAATTAATGCAAAAGTGCTGCTTTCGCTTATTAGTGAAAATCAACATACAAGGTATCCCAGAACTCAACGTCAAGATGACAATAACGTCCAGAAAACATTAATTTTCAAAATTAATGTTATCTGGACATTAAATTAATTTAATTAGTTTAATTTTCAAAAATTACGATTTTTTAAACTATGAACATAATTTTTTTTAAAATGGGTCGACTTTAATATACTAAAGTGTTAAAGTGGCTAGTTCTATCAAAATTTGTATTATTTGTATTTCACTTATAATTAGTTGAAATTACAACTGAATTAATAAGATAACAAAATCTATTTTTTTATAATGTTTTTTTTAATCAGGTGCGATCCGACTGGTCCAGTTTGCGCAATTGATGCCGATGGCCAGCCCAGAACTTTTGCCACCAGATGCAAGGTCGAAAAGGAATTTGTAAGCAAAATTATAAAAATAATAATTAAAAATGATATTATAATAATAGTATTTATATATTTACAAATTTCCGGTATGAGTCCAACCTAGTTTCCTTTCCTTTTTAAAAAATAATTATTACGAAATAAAAAATGACGAATTTATTATCATAAAATGCAAGTTTTCCACGTTTTTTCTATCAATTTTCCTTCCGTTCAACAGGAATATGTATACTGTGAGGTCTACCCTTAGACCCATCTTTAAGCACATCATCTAAATTTGCGTCAAACGATCTCAGCAACTTATCATCAGCACTGTATCGATTCTTACTCAAATCTTTACTCATAAACTTATTCAATTTAAATCTGTTCCTCAAATCCTTCAACTTATCAACTTCCACCGAATCGTTGGAGGAGTCTACGACTTGGGCACCATTTTTCGCAAATTTACTTCTAGTTGCACAGTTTTCGTTAGAAACTTCATCTACGGAACATCTTCGTTCGGCGAAGAATTTTTTCATCCCTTCGGTAGATTTTTTGAAAGTCAACAGCCTGTTGACGTCTTGGCTTAAATCTAATTGTAAGTCGTCTTTTTGTAAACGAGTTTTTGCAATTTGTCGTCGAACACACATAATCTCAAATCGTTTTTAAAGGACTCACAATCGTTGCCTTCGTCGATCGAGCACAGTTTTTCTTGGGTTTCGCTCGAATCTTTGGAGGAATTACTCAGTTTCCAAGACCAACTTCGGCGTTTTCTCATATTTTTGTATTTAGAATCCTTTGTAACGATACTGTCGGATACTTCTGACCTTCTGCGAGTTTTCATTCGGGTTTTGTTGGCTAAATCTTGGTCTGTTACCGTTTTTGGTTTTTGTTCGTCGTCTGACTCGTTCAGGATGAAATCGATTTCTAAATCGTCTGTGTTCGGTTTTTAAGTAAATTTAGAATTTTGGATAAAACAAGTCATATAATTGTGTGTGAATCCAATTTTGAAGGGCGATAGAAAGCAGCGTCCAAAATTATAATAATGTTAAATACACCAATTGATAAAAACATAGATTTATAAGTATGAATTGTTGTTTTGCTATATATATAATAAAATGTATTATATATATATATATATATATATATATATATTTAATATGCTTGCAAGATATTTAATTTGCTTGCAAGTAGAGTCCCTTTCTCAATTTTTCAACTTGCTTGTCAGTAGAGTCCCTTTGTTAATTTTTTTTTAATGAGTAATTTAATTTGCTTGTCAGTAGAGTCCCTTTCTTAATTTTTCAACGAGATATTTTATTTGCTTGTCAGTAGAGTTCCTTTCTTAAGTTTTCAACGATATGTTTAACTTGCTTGTCAGTAAAGTCCCTTTGTTAATTTTTGAAAGATATATTTAACTTGCTTGTCAGTAGAATCCCTTTGTTAATTTTTAACGAAATAATTTGCTTGTCAGTAGAGTCCCTTTGTTAATTTTTGACTCGTATTTAACTTGCTTGTCAGTAGAATTCCTTTGTTAATTTTTAACGAAATAATTTGCTTGTCAGTAGAGTTCCTTTATTAATTTTTGAGAGATATATTTAACTCGCTCGTCAGTAGAATCCTTTGTTAATTTTTAACGAAATAATTTGCTTGTCAGTAGAGTCCCTTTGTTAATTTTTGACTCGTATTTAACTTGCTTGTCAGTAGAATTCCTTTGTTAATTTTTAACGAAATAATTTGCTTGTCAGTAGAGTTCCTTTATTAATTTTTGAGAGATATATTTAACTCGCTCGTCAGTAGAATTCCTTTGTTAATTTTTAACGAAATAATTTGCTTGTCAGTAGAGTCCCTTTCTTAATTTTTTACTTAAGGTATTTAATTTGCTTGTCAGTAGAGTCCCTTTTTTAATTTTTAACGAAATAATTTGCATGTCAGTAGAGTTCCTTTATTAATTTTTCAACGAGATATTTAACTTGCTTGTCTGTAGAATCCTTTTCTTAGTTTTTTAATCAGTAATTTAATTTGCTTGTCAGTAGAGTCCCTTAGTTAATTTTTAACGAAATAATTTGCTTGTCAGTAGAGTTCCTTTATTAAGTTTTCAACGATATGTTTAACTTGCTTGTCAGTAAAGTCCCTTTGTTAATTTTTGAAAGATATATTTAACTTGCTTGTCAGTAGAATTCCTTTGTTAATTTTTAACGAAATAATTTGCTTGTCAGTAGAGTTCCTTTTTAATTTTTGAGAGATAATTTAACTCGCCGTCAGTAGAATTCCTTTGTTAATTTTTAACGAAATAATTGCTTGTCAGTAGAGTCCCTTTCTAATTTTTTACTTAAGGTATTTAATTTGCTTGTCAGTAGAGTCCCTTTTTAATTTTTAACGAAATAATTTGCATGTCAGTAGAGTTCCTTTATTAATTTTTCAACGAGATATTTAACTTGCTTGTCTGTAGAATCCTTTCTTAGTTTTTTAATCAGTAATTTAATTTGCTTGTCAGTAGAGTCCCTTAGTAATTTTTAACGAAATAATTTGCTTGTCAGTAGAGTTCCTTTATTAAGTTTTCAACGATATGTTTAACTGGCTTGTCAGTAAAGTCCCTTTGTTAATTTTTGAAAGATATATTTAACTTGCTTGTCAGTAGAATCCCTTTGTTAATTTTTAACGAAAAAATTTGCTTGTCAGTAGAGCCCCTTAATTTTTTACTTAAGGTATTTAATTTGCTTGTCAGTAGAGTCCCTTTGTTAATTTTTGAATGAGATATTTAATTTGCTTGTCAGTAGAGTCCCTTTCTTAATTTTTTACTTAAGATATTTTAATTGCTTGTCAGTAAAGTCCCTTTTTTAATTTTTAACGAAATAATTTGCTTGTCAGTAGAGTTCCTTTTTTAATTTTTAACGAAATATTTAACTTGCTTGTCTGTAGAATCCCTTTCTTAATTTTTTAATCAGTAATTTAATTTGCTTGTCAGTAGAGCCCCTTAATTTTTTACTTAAGGTATTTAATTTGCTTGTCAGTAGAGTCCCTTTCTTAATTTATATATATATATATATATAATATATATATATATACAAAATGGTTTTTTGTAGTGATACTATATGATATTGTTTTTAAGTACCTACTTATAAAAAAAATGACAAGGAAAAATTTTAGTGCATTTCTTGTTGCAAATGCACTATATTCAAATCATCAAAGTAAAGAATAATAAAAATATTAAAATATATATATATATATATATATATATATATATACAACCCTATTACCCTGTATAACTTACAAATTTGGATACACACATGCATATGATTCAAATGCTCATACATACAACCAAGCATCCATTAATTACAATTATATATAATATATATATATATATATATATAATATATTTATATACTATAAATGAGCTATGTAAGTCACCTGGCAATTTTTTGGTCCTAAACGAAGCATTTGTGATCATCGTCTTTGAAACAGTGACAGTTGTCGAAGCGGGTGAGATTGCACAGCTTATACCCATGGGGCCGTCTGATGGCTGACCTGAAAAAAATAAATAAAATATTATGTAAATATAAAAAACATAATAATAATTCCATTTAAAATATATGAAGACAAAAAAATTAATTATTTGTTAATTAAAAACCATGAAATCAGTTTATTCAAGTAGTTATAATGGGAATTCATGGTAAGAGTTTATCTTAACCTCAAAATTTGGTATTGAAAATTTTGGCTTTGTAATTAATTTTAAAATTACAAGCAAAATAGTGTTCAAAACTTAATTGTAAATTATGTAATGGCTTGTCTGATAAATTAAAACATGGAGCGTTGGTTTAAAATTACCCAAGATGCCACCAAATAAATTAAACCCTCTCCACCTTTTGGCGGTATCCGAGTGGAAAGGGTTAAACATAAAAAACTCATAAACATTCACAATTATCAAGCAGAACAAGAAATGATTGTATTGCTAAAGTGTTAATTACAAAATAAAAAATTGTTTCAAAGGGGTGAAAATTAAGGGTTGTAAGTATTTTTTTAATTCTGTATTATTAAAAAAAATTTTATACAAAAAAATCAGTCTAAAAATAAATGTGAAGAGTTATTACAAAGTAACGATTTTCTTAGAATTTTTTAAACAAAGAATTATTTTAGGAGGGTGAAAATTTAAGATGGTAGCTATTTTTTAATTTTACATTATAAAAAAATTAAATACAAAAGTATCGGTTTAAGGAATAAATGCGAAGAGTTACTGCAAAATAAAGATTTTTTTAGGAGGGTGAAAATTTAAGGTTACATGTATTTATTTATTTCCTCATTATAAAAAAATAATTATAGAAAAATTAAAAATTACCAAAGTGTCAACTACAAAACAATTACTTTAGAAGGGTAAAAATTTAGGGTAGCATGTATTTTTTTAATTCTGCATTATAAAAAAATAAGATACAAAAAAAATGATCTAGAAATTAGAAGTGCACAATTACGAAAAATTAATTGTTTTAAGAATGAAAATTTAGGGTTGAAAGTATTTTTTTTAATGCTGCATTATTAAAAAATAAAATACAGAAATAGTGGTCCCAAAAATAAAAATTAACTAGCTGTAAGTGGAATTCTGTCTTGAGGCAATTATGGCATCGTGCCTTAAGGCAAATTGCTGGAACTTCCCGCACCGTAACGAAATGTTCGAGGAATACTGAATGTTTTCAAATAGATTATATAAATATTGTAACATTGTGTAATATTTATAAGAATTATATAAACCGAATTGCAGAGTTGAAATTATTTCTAAAGTATATTAGAACTATAGTCAGAATTAAAAATAAAATCTGAAATATTTTCGATATACAAAATACTAAAAAAAAAAAAAAAAAAAAAAAAAAAAAAAAAAAAAAAAAATTGGAACAAAATTTTTTTCCAAAATCAATTATTTTGTTAAGACAAGCAGAAAGTTCTTTGAATCATTTAAATCGGACGCTTAGTTCTCTCCAAAAACTGCCATTTTTTACATATTTAGCTCCGTATCTTCGAAATGGCTGGGCCTGCCTTTGCCAAAAACTAATAAAAAACTTCTCCCAATCATTACTAATTGAATGTTTTTTAGATCATTCAAATCGGATGCTCCGTTCTCTCAAAAATTCGATTCCTATTTTCTGCACTTTGCTCCGTATCTCCGAAACGGCTGGACCCGCGTTTGCCAAAAACTAATCAGCTCTTTTCCCTATGAATAGGAATCGAATGTTTTTTGAACCATTCAAATCGGTTGATCCGTGCGCCCTAAAACGTGACTGGAAATTTGTATCCACACATACACACACACACACACACACACACACACACACACACATACACACACACATCCATTTTTTCTGAGGTATGCCAAAACGTTCAGAAACCTTCAAAACGTCGAGAAATGTAAAAATTTTCAATTCCGATTTTCGGCCCATTACAATAACTTACCCTACGGGAAGTTAAAAATTACCAAAATGTCAACTACAAAACAAAAAATTATTTCTGGGAGGTGTGAAAATTTAGGGTTTGCTGTATTTTTTATTTCCTCATCAAAAAAAATGAAATACAAAAAAAATATCCAAGAAATGCAAGAAGAGATATATGCATTTCTCTAAATTCTGCATTATAAAAACACAAAAAATACAAAATTTATTCAAAAAATAGAATAACTAAAACTACAGAAGGAAGAAATATTTTAGGAGGGTTAAAATTTAGGGTTGCATGTATTTTTTTTAATTCTGCATTATTAAAAAATAAAATACAAGAAAAATTGACTAAAAAAATAAAAAATTGTTGTATAAGAGTAAAAATTTAGGGATGTATGTATTTTTTCAATTCTGCATCATAAAATAAAATAAATATAAAAAATTGGTATAAAAAATATAAAATAATTGCAATTACAAAATAGAGAACTGTTTGAGAAGGGTTAAAACTTAAGGTTGCATGTATTTTGTTAATTCTGTATATTAAAAAATAAAATACAAAAAATTGACAAAAAAATATAAAATTGTTATAGAATGTTAAAAATTTAGGGATGTGTGTCTTTTTTAAATTCCTCATTATTAAAAAATTAAATACCTACAAAAAAATTGACCAAAAAATTTAAAATTGTAATAGAAGGTTAAAAATTTAGGGTATGTGTTCTTTTTTAAATTCCTCATTATTAAAAAATTAAATACCTACAAAAAAATTGACCAAAAAATTTAAAAATGTTAAAAATATAGATATGTGCGTATTTTTTAATTCCTCATTATTATAAAATTAAATATAAAAATTTGGTATAAGAAATATAAAATAATTGCAATTATTAATAATTATTAAATATTAAATAGAGAATTGTTTGACAAGGGTGAAAATTTAAGGTTGCATGTATTTTCTTAATTTTGCATTTTTAAAAAATCAAATACAAAAAAATTACCAAAAGAATATAAAATTGTTATAAAAAGTTAAAAATTTATGGATGTATGTATTTTTTAAATTCCTCATTATTAAAGATTAAATATAAAAATTTGGTATAAGAAATATAAAATAATTGCAATTATTAATAATTATTAAATATTAAATAGAGAATTGTTTGACAAGGGTGAAAATTTAAGGTTGCATGTATTTTCTTAATTTTGCATTTTAAAAATCAAATAAAAAAAATTACCAAAAAAATATAAAATTGTTATAAAAAGTTAAAAATTTATGGATGTATGTATTTTTTAAATTCCTCATTATTAAAAGATTAAATATAAAAATTTGGTATAAGAAATATAAAATAATTGCAATTATTAATAATTATTAAATATTAAATAGAGAATTGTTTGACAAGGGTGAAAATTTAACAAATACAAAAAAATTACCAAAAGAATACAAAATTGTTATAGAAGGTTAAAATTTAGTCCAAGAGATATGAAAATTAATTTGGTCCAAGAAATATGAAATAATTGTTAGGAATGAATAGAACTTACAACATATGGTTATAAAAAATATAATAAAATATAATTAAGTAAAAGGTCTAATATCAAATATTTCTAATTGATAATTTCAGTAACATTGATAGTAATATAGCTCTAATTTGATTTTAATTAATATAAATAAATTTATCAAAAGATAGTTCAAACCTATTTGCATAATTGCTTCTTATTTAAAATTAATCAAAATTCAGTACTTTGTAAAAGCAGACTTAAGAAATATATATATCATTTATTTACCTGTAGGATTCCCAGCCAGATAATGTTTAATAGCATTCGTAACCAAAATAACATCAGGATACAATTCAAAAACAGCCCTCCTATGAATATCCTCAACAGTCGACTGTGCAATTGATGCAAATTCATTATACATAGCAAAATATACGGCATGTATCAACTCCAACATAAACTGTCCTGTTAAAGGTATCCTCGGCAAAGATTTCATAGGACTATGTGCATTGTTTTGATTGAGAGAGGGGTGTGTTTTTGCAAAACCTTGAGTCATCAACCTAGAGGAAAAAGATAAATAGATAGATAAATTGTAATTGACAAAATATGTTTTTATTTTGCTTACATGGAGGTGGCTTTGCATAAGTGATGTAAGGAAGCCTTTGGTAAAAGACACAAGTATCTGTTGTAAATAAATAATAAGGCTGTCATGACTCGTATTCTGTTTTGGGCACATAAAGTCTCCACATGAGGCATTGGACCCCAACGGACTGTTTTTGCTGAACATTCTTCCCAGCGACGTAAATCTGTTTGGGCTAGACCTTTTGCCTAAAAGAGTAAACAATTCAAATATATATATATATATATATATATATATATATATAATTATAATTATATATCCTCTTACCTCATGGTATATAGAATGCTGTGCAAGAAACGGCATTCTAAACGAAATAGTTTTAGGTTGTCCATTCTCATCAACAATCTCCAAATTATAAACGCTTATCAAAAAAGTCTCGATGCAGTAACATTTCTCAATATCACCCCTTGCAACGGAATTCAAATATATATAAATCAACGTCGGCAGAAACTGTAGAGCAAACAACTTTAGTTCTTGGTAAGTGGATCTAAAGAAGTTGAACAATTGGCTGCAAATTTGTAGCGTCAGCTAGAAAAAAATAGAAATTATCATATTATGGTTTGAATGTATATTTATGTATTTATTTATTTTTAAATATATAGACCACAGATTTCTTCCAAAAGGACTCAAAAATACATTTATTTTACATAATGAATAACAATTAAAATATATACAAAATTACAATATATAGTTAGTAACATAAAATGCTTAAGATAAAATTAGATATAATGCAGAATGTAACAATATTATTTATTTACAGAATAAGATAAAAACTAGTGGTGTATGGCATCGTGCTTAAGGCAAATTGCTGGAACTTCCCGTACCGTAATGAAATATTCGAGAAATTTTAAACGTTTTTAAATATATTA